TGTCAGCACAGGGCAAAGTAGTATTACGTAGTTAGTATCAGCAATTTCTTATGCTGAAGTGTACGATGTGTTGCATACCTATTTACAAACAATTCCTTTAAATTTAAATCATTGATTAATATACATCTATTAAAAAAACATAATGGCCGACATCAGTGACAATGCAACAACAATTGAAAAAGAATGATGGCCGACAACAGTAACAATTAGAAAAGAATGATGGCCGACACTACGTCATAGTATTGTTCACAAAAGTGAATTTTGACCACTCGAAGCAATGGTGCTAACAGTTTCGAGCTCACAGTGATTGATAGGGTAGAAGAACTAGTAAGAGTAACAGTTTTTTTTAATATTAGATATATTGTAGGTATACATATATCGAACCTGAAACTGTGATATTATAACTGTAAATGCAAGTTTTGATTTTACTTCTAAAATTGTTGGGTCATTCACATTGAACCTCTTACTCAAGGTCAGTTAAACTATTCTGTTACATTACTTTACAATGGTAATGGTCAAAGAAAAATACAGGATGTTTTGGGGACAGGTACCATGTTTCCTGTTAAGGAACCATTATAATTTACTAATAATTACACAATTTACTTATAAGTATACTTCTTTATTTCATTATTAGTAAGGTAAAGGCTGAAGATACCCTTAGATTAATAAGTAATCAACACAAATGAAAATATTTATTCACTGTAGAATAAACTGATAAGAAAGAAATAAATTTTATTAATATTCTCGTGGTGCGGCTAAATCAAAATTGATATAAATGCTCAGAGTCCGAATGAAAACATAAATGAACATAAAGAAGAAAAAGAAGAATTTGGGGTTTTATCATCATAAGTAGGTAGTAATATTTTGAAAATATTTTGAAAATTAAAAACAATGATTATCGTGTTATTCTTTTTGTAGTGATTTCAAATGTATTACTAGAATTTTCATAAACCTAGTAATATACAAGGGATGCTCGAAATATATATATTTTTTTACATAAACGTCATAACCTGTAACGGATAATTTACAGGTTGTAAGAAGCAATATCACGCAACGAATTGAAACCCTTCTGTTTGAAAACAAATGGGACGAATGTTTGTTGCCTTAAGAGAAGTAGAACTGAGGGCTATTCCCGAACTAAAATGTCAACTAACTAAACATNTAACATTGCTTTTGAGGTTATAATTTATAACATCCTTTAATGTTTAGAATCATTTAAAATTCCAAATGATCCGCGGAGGCAGTTACAATTTCCTGATAATGAAATTGTCACAGTTCCAGCCCTATCTGAAAGATGTGCGACCCAAAATCTAGATAACTCGTTTGAAACTGATTTTGCACCTCTTCCCAGTTCTCAGACAAATACAGAAGAAGAGGCCAATGGCAGTTTTAGTGATACCATTATTACTACTGATGAAAATAATCGTAGTGAATTGGTGAATACAAAGAAGCGTAGTGCTGATAACTTAAATGATTATTATATGCCAGAAGATGATAATAACCAATTGTTAAAACGTCACAAAGCTGATGCAGATTTTGAGAATAGTATTCTAATTAATCAGATCTTGCAAATGCGCCAGCAAGCTAAAGAAAAATTAAATCCAGTCCCAGTGCATAGTGCAAGAAATATAAAGTCGAGAGTTAGTTTTGACGAAAATAACATATCATACAGACTTCCAAAATATCCCTTTATTACTTTAACAAGAATAGATGGTGAAAAAGTTTATGTACGTTGCCATTCTGAGGAGTATGAGAAAGAGGAGTTGAAAAGAATTGCAAGTCAAGAAAGCCATTACCGATTATTAGGAGATTCTTCAAAAGAATTGTGGAAGGAAGCCAATGAGATTGTAAGCTTATTGATGAAATGTTTTCACTAGATGTATAAAAAGAATATTTAATTTGTAGATAAATAAAATGGTCGACAATGAGTTAAATAATGGTGTTCCTGATGTTTCTGAAGAAAATAATTCTAGCGGTTTTAAGATATCAGAAGAAAATAACAATAGTCAGTTATGGGTGGATATGTATAAACCAAAGAGCTATTTTCAACTCCTAAGTGATGAAAGTACCAACAGATCCTTGCTGAAGTGGTTAAAAATGTGGGATAAGGTCGTTTTTAATCGCAATGTTATTCAAAAAGTGAAACAGAACGAGATGAAAATGAAATCCAAATTTCAGAAGCAAGACATTGAAATGAAATTTGACGACCTTGGTAGACCTGAACGGAAAGTTGCCTTGCTATGTGGGGCACCTGGATTGGGTATGCGACTTTAAACTACTTATAAATTAAAATGGTCAGAAAAAGTGTTGCACTATAAAAGCAATTTAACTAGTTTAGTATTTTTTAATTTTATAGCTGACTTTAAATTTAATATTGTATTGAAATGAATTGTTTAGGGTGAGGGATTTCTTGTCTAAAGTTCACATTGGTTTTTTCTTTACAGGAAAAACAACATTAGCACATATTGTTGCAAGGCAAGCAGGTTACAACGTTGTTGAAGTGAATGCTTCAGACGATCGTAGTACAGAAGCATTCAAAACAATCCTAAAAAATGCCACCCAAATGCGGTCTTTTATAGATCGTGAAAATCGCCCAAACTGCCTTATATTCGACGAAATCGATGGTGCTCCTCAATCATCAATCGATTATCTGGTAAAATTCGTCACCGACTCGGCAACCACCAAGTCGACGAAGGGCACCACTAAGAAACGAAACGTCCTTAAACGTCCCATCATTTGTATTTGCAACGATGTCTACGTTCCTGCATTAAAACCTTTGAGACAAATTGCATTTGTGGTCAATTTTCCTCAAACGTCAACTTCTCGATTGGCAGAAAGATTGTGTGAAATAGCCAGACACCAAGGCATCAAAACGGATATGGGTGCTCTTCTGGCACTTGGAGAAAAATCTAACAACGACATCAGATCGTGCATTTCAATTTTACATTTCTTCAAGTCGCTAAGCAAAAAGATATCGTTATCGGACGTATATAAGACAAATATAGGGCAGAAAGACATGCAAAAAGGTCTGTTTGCCGTTTGGAATGATATTTTTCAAATAGAACGTAACAAGCAAAGTGCTGTTTATTCTAGTGATTGTAACGCGCGTGAACTGCATGACAGTTTCAGTTTAAAAAATCGAATGAAAAAGATTTTAAATGATGTTAGTTCGTTTGGTGATTATGAACGATTGGCCCAAGGTGTTTTCGAAAATTTCACGAACCTGACGGTCAAAGATTCGATGTTAACGCAAACGTGTGAGGCTCTGGAGTGGTTTTCATTATTTGATAAAATGAAAACAAGGATACGAACTTTACAAGATTACAGTTTGATGAGATATTTGCCATATGCTTTTGTGGTCTGGCACTTTGTGTTTGGCTCATTTGCAAGACCAAAGCTTTCTTACCCTAATGCAGATTATGAGGTGAGTCACTTCTTTTTTTTAATATTATTTGTGTTCCTTGAGGTAAAGTAGTAATAGCTACAGTTTGGGTTTGTCGTAATATACAGTCAAACCTGGATAAGTGAGAACTGAGTAGGCGAGGAAACTCTATTAATGAGAGTATTTGCCAGGTCCCGTCATTTTGCCTTTCTAAAGCCTCTATAAGTGACAAACATAAAACCTGTATAAGTGACAGTCATTTTTCATGCTCTTTAAGTGAGATTGCTACTTGTCTATACCTCTATAAGCGACAGTTTAATTTTGCTATTTTATGACTTGTTCTTAAATTTCAAGACTCTTATTTCATTCGAATGACTAAATCTGCAAATGACCGAGCAAGTCTTTATTATTTTGTTATAGCCAAATGTGCGTGCCAACTTGTTTATCAATCTTATTACAGTTAGTTCATAAAAGCAGTTGCGAAGAAAGGTTCTGTACTTCCTCATAATGTCTAAACGAAAACTCAATGTGTTGTCGAACCGTGTTTTTATAGACCTCTATAAGTGAGACAGATTCCTCCTGTAACTCTGTAAGCTAGAAACTCGGGTTAGTGAGAAACCTCTATAAGAGAGAAACAGATCGCGGTCCCTTGAGCTCTCACTTATCCAGGTTCGACTGTATACCAATTCTTAAGCTTTCTTTTGTTTTTCTGTGTATGTTTTGCCCTTAACGTTGTTGGTTGCAAAAAGTGAAACAAAACCTACATAATCGTAAAGTAACCTAACCTAACCTACTGTAATAATCTACAAAATCTCACCTTATATTTTTGATTAAAAAACTGTTATAATTNTCTTTACAAATAATTTGTTTTCGTTTTCATCTGATTTGAATTATTTGAATTTTGAATTGAAGTTTAGCTGCTATCTATGATAAGTTTTATTGTATATATTGAAATAACATGGAAGATTCCTACAGAGTATATTCGAATCAATGTGGTAATATTTTTTAACTGAAGATGTCGCCATGTGTTATTTAATTAGACTTTCATTATTACCAATTATTTACTAGATGGCTCTTTCAGTCTATAAAAGTACGAAATTATTAGAAGTAATGTAAGTGATAATGAAGTTAAAACGTTATATACTGTGTGTTCTATTAAATTATAGGAATTAATGGTAAAAACTCTTAAGGTTTATTTTTGAATACTATCTATTTGAATTGCATATTTTAATTGCTTCATGTTGTGTTTTTAATTTTACTTCTAATTTATCTATTTAATGTGTTTTCTACGTGATAATTACTAGAATGATATGATATTGTTTTATAAAAAAATAAAACGCAGACCATTGTTTTTCATAGAAAGAACGTTTCCAAAAAATCAGGACAATAACCTCTATTTGTCGAAGTTGTACTTATGGAGTCATTTTACTTGATTTTTTATTGATTATTCTGAATATTCATTCGTGATATTGTTTTCTCAAAAAACATTCCCGATTTATTCGACTAAACTTTTATTTGTTTGTTTCATTCCTTTAAAAGGTTTTCTTTCCCTTTCTCGAAACAGTCGAAGTAATTATCTAACAGCGCGCTGTAGGTACCTATATAATAAGACAGCAGACATTAATTATTACCCCGTTTTGCTTTGTTTCGACTGTGCGATGGGATTAAAAATTAGGGACGCTGTTATCGTTGCAGTAGAAATTGCTACAATGTAAATTCTACAACTGTCAAAAACTTAACTCGTTGTGTACCAACTTCCGTAATTTGTGGACACGCTTTAAATCATTTTTAATTAATCGCAAGGCGCTACTAAAAGCAGACAATGTTTGATATATTTTCATTTAAGTAAAAAGAGTATATAAGTGATAAGCAGGTGAAACTACCCTCTACATTATATACCTATATTAGAGTGCGGTGAAAAGTGTCGGAGTTGTTCGAAAATTGTGTTGTAAAATAAAAATTCGGATGCAAACTGTGCCTACATTTAAAACAAAAAAAAGAAACGCTGCCACGTTATTGTAAGTAAAAAGTAAAGGATGATTCACGCTACTCCGTTTCGAATCCTAACGGAGTTAAGGACGAGGCATAGACATAAATTGTACAAGCTTTTCTTTAAGAAATAACTAGTTCTTCCCCCTGCCCCCGACCATTTTTATTGCTCCACTATGACGTTGTGTCGGCCATTATTCTTTTCTAATTGTTGCAGTTGTCGGCCGTCATTCTTTTTCAATTGTTGTCGCATTGTCGCTGATATCGGCCATTATGTTTTTTTTAATAGATGTATAGTAATCAATGATTAAAATTTAAAGGAATTGTTTGTAAATAGGTATACAACACATCGTACACTTCAGCATAAGAAATTGCTGATATTAACTTTCATTTATGTAGTACTACTTTGCCCTGTATTGACAGCACTCATAATTGTTTTGTATACAATACCTTGCCCTTCCCTTGACTCGGAAAATGTTCGGAATATGCCTTTAGACAATCCTGGGCTCTACAGGCGGTAGATGATGCGTTTTAGTATGTTTTAGCTGTATGCAAAATTCGCTCTAGTCTGAGTTGTACAAACTTCACGCATACGCCACGGACCCGAAACGGTGTAGCGTGAACCAGCCTTAACTACATCGTAATTAGCATTTAGTCCCTATTTTTCTGGTACAAATTAATCTTTTGTTGTGTTTTTTGTGGCTAATATGGGATACAAAAAAAATAGATTATCATAATTATTGGCGTGGTGAATTAACACACAATTACGTGATTGAAGTTTAAAGCAAGAAAACAATATTTACCTGGTGCTTAATATGCTCCCTATCTTTAATTTTTTGTGTGAATATAATAATTTAATAATGTACTAACTTCTAAATTGTACTAATGGATGTCTACATAATAATACAGTTTACAACAAACGTGTGGACTATTTATTATGAACGAATGATCGGACTAATAGCCAGTCACTTTTATTTTTTTCTATAATTAAAAACACTGGTTTTCTTTTATATATGAGTATCTACAGTTTTTTGTTTTACCTTCCGTACGGGAGGGAAGTGTTCCTTTATCCGTAGCTGTCATCAAAATGTCCGAATCTGTTCTTCCCGTATACAAATCATATGATTACCATCATTTCCTTCCCGCTAATAGACGTCGGCTCTCAAGGTCCCGCTCGTCAAAGCCTGCTGTGTTTGTTTGCGTCCCTTTTCTTTCTTTCACTTTGCGCCTTTAAATAATAAAGCGTCTCTAATGAGAAGTTTTATCTCGGCAATCAACGAGCGGCCCTGTCACGAAATAATCACCTTCTAAAAACATCACGACGTCCTCTTATGACTCCTCCAGAACGGCCCGTAACGTAGCGAAACTTCATCATTTTTCCCTTCAACCAACTTCATAAACTCATTTCAACTCAGCGCGGACCGCCCACTATTTGCAGATGTTGCGGAAATCTGGCCATAATACAATCTGCTATCGTTTTCCATTACCGATTCTAGGGATTTAGAAAAATGAAAATTATCCTTTGCTTTATTTATTTACATAGTTATGATACTTCCTTAGCTTTAAATAAAATGGAAGCGGTAATGACAGACCAGTGCTGTATGAAAATAAATAAAAGTAAAACTAAAATACTGGTATTTAAGGGGTAGAAAAAGTAGGGAAAGAGCGAATATAAAGATAGGAGGCGAAAAATTAGAAGAAGTGGCTGATCTTAGATATCTAGGAAGTCAGATAAGTCAGTACGGAAGGAGTGGTAGGTATATAAAGCAGAGGATAGCGCAGGGTCAAGTCGCCTTCAATAAAAAGAAGTCACTTTTATGCTCGCGAACGATTAATTTAGAAATTCGAAAAAGATTGTTAAAGGTGTATGTTTGGAGCGAGGCGTTGTACGGGTGCGAAACATGGACAGTGGGCGCAGCTGAAAAGAGAAGGTGGTGTTATAGGCGAATGATGAGGATAACGTGGGTAGAAAAGGTTAGAAATGAAGAGGCATTAGAAAGAATAGGAGAACAGAGGACTCTATGGAAGTCAATAAAGAATAGGCAGGATAGGTTGGTAGGACACCTTCTCAGGCATGAAGGTCTAGTCAGAGACATATTAGAGGCAGAAACGGAAGTTAGGAGAGGTAAAGGTAGACCTAGGTTAGATTACTGTTCGCAAATAGTTAAGGATGTGGGCTGTTCTAGTTTTAAGGAAATGCGAAGTTTAGCACAGGATAGGAAAGAGTGGAGGTACGTGTCCAACCAGTCTTAGGACTGATGACCTTATGATGATGATGAGTTCTCGATTATTGCCAATGTTCTCGTCACTTGAAGTCGACATTTTGACTAAATTAATTGCTCACGATCTACTTTATATTGAGTCGAATCAGTCAGATTCAATCATCCTCGCATAACCGTGTTATCGGCTTCGTGGACAACCAGCCTTAAAGGACTTGACACGAGTGATTACCGAGGTTGTCGCTCGTTCCCGTGTGAATGCAATATAATAACACTCTGGTGTGTATCCAATTTCACTCGTGTTAGAACCTGTCATTTTCTCAACTTGTAATAATTAATTAAATATTTTTAGAAGCCTTTGTTATCCTATAAGCTTTTGCTACTTGATTGATTACCACGACGTCGTTGTCGTCGTTGATGTCAGTGTTCAGAGAACTCTAAAGACGCTTTCTTCTTTTTAAAGATCGCGTTGTTAATTTTTATTTTCTATTTGTATCAACAAATGAGCCACTTCTCATTAAGGTTTACTGGACCCCTATATTATCTGTAACCTATTTCTACTCTGCTTCATTTGTTGTTGTTCGTTACCCAATTTTTTATGTTGAGTTTCAAAATTAAAAATCATTTTGCTTTGATAATAGTAATAGTATAATTTCTACCCACAACTGAATTTGATCATTTTATTATTAAATTAAATTTGATTGAATTTTTGACCAAGATTTCAACGTCAAAACGCGTATCCCACCGCATTCTATTCCATTACCACTGCGGTGTGGTCGCGGAATTCGGGCAACTTATTTTGTTCTGCTAATGAGATATAAATTATGCAATAGCTGGCGCATAAAGACGTCGTCGGCGTCGCGGCGCTGCTCTTGTAATTAGCGTACTCGCAGACGTACGTGCGCGTACACGATACACCATTTAGAAAAAAAAAACGCCATCTGACAACTATCACGGCTCGCGGTCCTTCGAGCCGAACACGTTCAGCCGGAAGTCTCCCATTCCGGACGCAGGAATACTTTCTTTCGCTGTTGCTTTAATTTGTTGGCTTTGTTGACGAATGCAGGTTCTTTTTTAATGCATGAGGTGATTTAACTGGAAATGCTTTACATATGACGAGATCTTCCAGTAAATGAAACCGGAGTTGGACTTGTTAGTTTTTTGTTTTAAACTGTAGGACGGTGATTAAATACAACGGTCATCATGAAATCTCTTCTCCGGGGTTTTTTCGAGTCGCGCATTTTTAAAAATTAAAACGTTACATATTCAGTTCTGAAAAAGGAAATGACAAAATTACTTGTATCATATTTAGCTAAAAATTACGATTTTTTAATTGCTGTCTGTGGCTTTGAAGAAGAAGATTTTTTGTCGTGAATTAATTTTTATGTATCTTTTGAGTTCTGTGGATGGCATAAATGTTAATAATTTAATCATAAAATAAGGGTACAATGTAGTGATTATTGTTTCCATTACCTAATACTTAATGAGTTTAATTGGTTAAAAAGACCCGACGTGGAAATGGTATAAAATTGTGATTAGATTGAAAAAAGAGGTTTCTAAAGTGTTGTAGAGTGCTTCTTTACAATTGTTGTTTCTTTTTTGTTCCAGGCCAGGGTAAAATTGAACAAAACTTTGGCAATCGTTCGAGAAGTACTGAAGCAGATGCAACCATCAATTCGAACGTATACACATATTAATCCCCTCATATTAGATATTTTGCCCCTTTTGGTTTACATAATTGTACCTTTATTACGTCCTGTAAATTTACACCTTTACACCCAGAAAGAGAAGGAGGACTTAGAGCGGGTGGTGAATACCATGATTGACTACAATTTAAACTACGTCCAAGAAAGGCACCCTGATGGGAATTATTCATATGAATTAGGTTGGTAATTTCATTGACATTTTGAACCATATGCGGGGAGTGGGGGGGGGATAACTGAGCAGCGTGTGTTTTTTTATTTTTGGCGTCCCTCGTTTAAAATTAAGGTAGGTATACCAACCCTTAGCAATTTCCAATGAAAAGGCCATAGGACGATAAGCATAGTGAATCGGCCCCAGAGGAATACCTGGGTAATTTTTTCAGGGGATATTGATAGTAATGAGATACGTTAATTTTGAAAATTTTAGACCTCTGTCTATTTTGGTTTTTGAATAAATTCAAAAAAACCAAAAATCAGAAAATNACCGTATTAAAAGATATTACAGAGGATCGCGTACAACAACAAATTTTAACACAAATACATAGTCCAGATCATAGAGGAGCTGAAGAATTGAACAACGAAATTTCACGTTATTATTATTGGCCAGATATAATTGGAACATGCAGGAAATTTGTAGATAGATGTAGTATTTGTCAGCAGGCGAAATATGAACGTCATCCTGTCAAATACAAATTAAATTTGACCTCTACTTCAAAATTACCTTTCGAAACGGTATACATCGATACTTTTACTGTTAGCGGAAAGAAACATCTTACAGCTATAGACTCTTTCACTAAATATGTAATGTTCAATCCTTTAAATTCCCATAATTTATCAGATCTTGTAGAAGCATACATTAATCTCTTTTCTAAATACAGAATGCCGAAAACGTTAATAGCAGACAACGAATTTAACAACTCATTCTTTATCGATATGTTAAGAATGCACAAAATTAACTATCATTTTATCACACCTTGCCATTCAGAGAGCAACGGACCCATCGAGAGAGCACACAGTACATTAATAGAAATTATGAAAGTCATTACAGCCTCTAGGAATAAGATTTTAATTTCGAATATCTTTGAAAACGCCGTAATAATATATAATAGAACTATTCACTCGCAAACCGGATGTAAACCAATAGAGTTATTATTTGGACACGAAGGTGATGTATTAACATTTACAGGAAGTGTTAAACATAAAATACCATTAAATTCGGATATACCAATTTTTACCAAACCATATAGATTCCCCCAGGTCCAACGAGAAGAAATAAATAGGCAGGTTAAAGAACTCAAAGAACAAAATATAATTACAGAAAGCGAATGTCACCGTACAATTGACCGATATTTTTAGTCAGTAAAAAACCGGACAAATAAAGGAAAAAATCATGGAGAATGGTAGTANAACTACAATAGATAGGGTCAATATCAGTCTTCGGCGGTCGCACTCACCCTCAATTAATTTTATGACATTCTGTCCATATTTCGCAGGTTCTAGAAATTTAATTGTTCGAGGCATGGGTATTGCCCTGTGGGGTTTTTGCCAATACTCGTTTTTGCGAACTTGTTTTCCTTTGTTGGTTTTGTAGATATTGGTGGTGGTAGTAAACCATTTTAAAAATGCTAACATTGTAACAAAACGCGTGCCTTATATGTAGTAGACGGCTGGCATTAATCAGCAGATATGCAAGTTTTCTTTAAACAATCAATAACTACGATCGAAGAGTTACAAAAAGTCTTTCAAACGACTAGGTCGGTCTCTCATCGTGTTAATAGTTAACGCATATGGTGTATCGCTATTTTCCGTAAGGCGTAACTCCTATTCTTTTAAGCAACAAAAACCCTCCAAAGCTAAGAGCAAATTCAATAAGTAATTAATTAATCAATAATAAATAAAATAAGTGTTTTTTAAAAAGCTTAAGGAATAGTACCGGCCTTTAACTGGCGCGTTCGTGACGGATTTTTGGACTTAAAGTGCACACACAAAAGGGAGGCCTCCCATTCAACTTCAAGGAGCAACCCCACAGAGGTGAGGTCTCCCATTCAACTTCAAGGAGCAACCCCACAGAGGTGAGGTCTCCCATTCAACTTCAAGGAGCAACCACACAGAGGTGAGGTCTCCCACAACTTCAACATTTGAAAACTTCAAGGAACTTACAAAAAGTAAGCTTTCCCAACGCAAAGTAAGTCGTTATCCTTAATTGTAAAACAAGAATTGTATCAATCTTATTAAATGTATAGTACGAAACAAAAGTAACAAAATACAAATTTATACGTCTATATGACAGAAGTAAACGAGTTAAATAACTCAATAGCTGAAATTAGCATAAATAGTGTAGACTCTGAAACGGAAGAGCAATTCTTAGGCTTTTCGCCTCAAGAAATAATTAATTTATCATTAAATTTTATTAATCGAGAAATAAATAATTTAGAAATAGATTTAAAAATGCAAAACCAAAGTAATCAACCAAGCACAGAACAATTAATCTGTACAGTTAGAAGCTACGGTGAGATTTTACCAAAGTTCGAAGGTAAAACCAGCACCTTAGATTCTTTTATTGTAAAAATAGATAAGTTTTATAATAAGTATGGTAATACACAAGACATTACGTTAAACGAATACACATTTTGTCTTATTTGTAATAAGCTTGTTAGTGAAGCAGGCGATTTTATTGCATATCGTCCAGATTTAGACAGTTGGCCAAAATTAAGAGAAGCTTTGAGAAATAAGTATGGAGATTTTGTAGATCGTAAAATCCTTTCACACCAATTTAAAACATTACACATTAAACCACACGAAACACACAATGAATTCATAGAACGCATTAAAACAATCCAAAACCAACTTAATTTAAAAATTAGAGCAGATAGGAATGTTACCGAAAATCAAAAAGAAATTTATGAACAAATTAATGAACAAACCGCGCTTGAGGTGTTGTACAATAATTGTCCACCCATGTTACAAACAATACTCGATGTAAAAGAGCCCAATTCATTACCAATTGCAACAGCGATAGTTTTAGGTTATCTTTCCAAACATCCAGTAGAAAAAACTAAAGCTTTCCCAAATTCTTTTAACTCTCCTAAGGTACAGAATTTAGGTACTAAACCAAAATTTCCACAGTTAGCTCAAAATAGCAACGTACCAAGACCAAATATATACAATAGATTAACAACGTTACCAGTGAACAGAAATAATCCTAGTTCTTCGCGTAACTATTCTTTTACAAATCAAAATTTACCTATCAGTTCATTTCAAAGATTAAACTTGCAACCTCAAAATAGACAAAACCAAAATCCACCGTCCAATCAAAATAGAATTTCTAATTCTAACCAGCAAAATACCCAACAGCGTAGCCAGCAAACTAATTCGAATTTTCAGCGCACAGCTTTCAAAAATTGGCGACAACCAAATGTGTCGTTAACCGAAATCGAACCCGCTGATGAAATCAGTCAAAATCCCGAATTAGACGAAAATTATGAACAGCTAGATTGCGATTATCAAGGTACCAATAATTATTTTTACGACGATAACTATAACTATAACAACGTAGACGAACTTATGGAAGATTGTGTACAAACCAACCAATCTGAAAATTTTAATCAGGCAGAAGTCCAAAATTTTCCTTTACATGCCTCGGAAACAAATTAACAAACAATTTTAATCATAATATAACGCTAAACACGCCGAATCGTTATTCAACCTTACCAGGCTTAATTTTAGATATAAATAACCAAATTTCACTTAAAATATTAATAGATACTGGAGCTACGAATTCATTAATTAAACCAGAAATTGCCAGAAAATATTTTTCAGACCGCATTTACGACGAGTTCTTTGTTTTAAGAACTATTACCACCGAAACCCCGCATAATCAGTGTGTAGACGTTGATCTTTTTAAGGAAGGTCAAAATTTAAAATTTTTTATGGTAAATTTTCATCGACACTTTGATGTATTACTAGGTTCAGATAGTTTAGAAATCATGAGAGCAAAATTAGATTATGAATATGGAACAATAATTTTAAACAATGTAGATTACTTTTTAGTAAAATACGACACGTATTTAGCCAATAATTTAGATAAACAAAAGTTCCCAATTTCAATCAAAAAAGGTCCAGTCTTAATACCAGAACAGCAGGTAAATAATATAAGAATACCGGAAACAATTACCATTGCAGATAATTACCAATGTGAAGTTCCTATACAAGGTGTTTTACCAGCAGATTTAGCAATACCCAAAATTAGAGCTCAACACATTAACCCAAAAGAAGTTAGTATTTGCAATATCACAAATAGTCAGTTTACACGCAAAAAACCGTTAAAAATTGAATTAAATCATTTACCTCAGAAACAACATTTACAAGTACAATCTCTTTGCGAACAGTATAATGAGATTTTTTATAAGGAAGGTGATGTATTAACATTTACAGGAAGTGTTAAACATAAAATACCATTAAATTCGGATATACCAATTTTTACTAAACCATATAGATTCCCCCAGGTCCAACGAGAAGAAATAAATAGGCAGGTTAAAGAACTCAAAGAACAAAATATAATTACAGAAAGCGAGTCACCGTACAATTCACCGATATTTTTAGTTAGTAAAAAACCAGACAAACAAGGAAAAAAGTCATGGAGAATGGTAGTAGATTTTAGGAAACTGAACGAAAAGACCATAGAGGATAAATACCCTATCCCTAATATTGCGACAATTTTAGATTTATTAGGCGAATCAAATTATTTTTCCAAACTCGACTTAAAATCAGGATATCATCAAATAGAGATAGAACCAGAAGATCAGTTCAAAACAGCTTTTTCAACGGAAAACGGACATTATCATTTTCTGCGTATGCCGTTTGGTTTACGTAACGCACCAGCATGTTTTGCCCGTGTAATGAACAATGTATTAAGAGGATTAGTAGATAAAATATGCCTCGTGTATCTAGATGATATAATAATTTTAGGAAAAACTTTCGAAGAACACGTCAATAACCTTAAATTAGTATTTCAACGTTTAAAAGAACATAAATTTAGAGTTCAAATGGATAAATCAGAATTTTGTTTGCAAGAAATTGAATATTTAGGACACTTAATTACTACTACAGGAATAAAACCAAATCCCAAATTAGTTCAGAAAATCCAAAGTATAGCATTGCCAAAAACAATTAGAGAAATAAA